TTTTTTTTTTTTTTTCAGTCCCGTGCGACAAATAAGTGCCCAATCCCAAGCTGCTTTCTGCCAAATGCAGAACTACTCTTACTACGTATTCAACTTTTGTAACTATTTGAGCAGGGATTTTTGGAGCGACACAACACTGTACCAAGTGTAAAGCGATGATAATCAAACGTTACTGTAATCACCCAACAGTCGCATCAACGAAAGTTTTTGAAGTTATTACTCACTTGTTGATGACAGGACACATGAAGTTAGCATCATCAGTATCACTGACCTGAGAACCATGATTACGATGAAGGTCGCCTATTGGGGTTAGACAGGAAAAAATAGTCATATTGGAACAATGAAAAAAAACCCAGTCAAACAAGCGATTTTGTTGGTACAGGAAGATTAAAAGTATATATTCATATTAAACACAACACACAAAACAAGCAAACAAATAAACAAAAAATCAACGAAGGATTAATATTTTTTCACTGGAAAATATTATCTTGACAAATTCTAAACAATACACACAAACAACAAAAAAGCAAACACACAAAACGACTCTCTTTTAACAACGCRGATCAATCCAAGTACTAAACATTACGCAAAAAAACTATATCTTTGCACGTAGGAGGAAACTTTGATTGTAGGTCCAATAGGTTAAAAAATCTACATTTTAAAAGAACAGTGTTAACTTTTGAAAACACTGTGTAGCACAAATCTATGAATTAGACACAAGTTACAGAATAGTACTTCTAAACGTACTCTTAACGTTACATCAATCCACAACAAGATTCGTCGACAGCCTCTTTACAATAAAGAAAGCTAAAATTAAATCTATTTATCACTTATCAGTGGGGTTTTAAAAGAAGAGGTTACTAGTATATCTAAAGGGTTTTGTTAGTATAACGATAGAAAAGATAGGGCTTACCTCTTAGAGAAGAACGACTGGTTTGTAAAGATTCTCCTTGAACAATTCCAGATTAATACGTTGACAACAAATGTACCATTTACAAATCATGATTGGAATTTGTTGATTATTACAAGGACATTAAACTCCTTTGTTTTGACTTAGTTAATCTTTAGTAATTATAACACTTAATCTTTCAAACATTTTTTTGAAAACTCAAATTATTACTATGGAGRAAAAGTCCTTGGATATTTAGAATCAGGCCAGGGAAAAAAAGTCGTACGAACCGCGAATAAAGAAGTATTGTTCTCGAATATATTAAAAAAATATTTAAGTTGATATTTAATCATTAATTTTTTAGCGTATCTAAATGTACTACGCATTTGATCATATTCTTTCATCATCATCATCAACATCATCACCATCACCATCATCATCATCACCATCTTCACCATCATCATCATCATCTTCCTTTTCATCATTATCGTCATCATTATCATCATCATCATCACCATCATCATCATCATCACCATCTTCACCATCATCATCATCATCTTCCTTTTCATCATCATCGTCATCATCATCATCACCATCATCACCATCACCATCATCATCATCATCATCATCTTCTTCCTTTTCATCATCATCGTCATCATCATCATCATAGGAATCAATCATGAAGAGTTCATTAACGGCCCGTTAAACCTAGTGGTAAGAAAAAGCAGCGATCAAGAATCAGTAATCCATTCAACCAGATAACAAAYTAAATAAATATCATTTTCGAGCAACATTAATCGTTCCAAATGTTTACGAGGAAAATGTCTTGAAGAGAAAAGCGAAGAGAAGCTTTAACGTAGACGAGGAAAATATCGAAATACATGAATATAAAAATGAGATACATGGAAGAAAGCAGACATGAAAAATATGGGAAACAAGAACTTTCCATTCGATCCTTCCCATCTTCTCGGTGATTGTCAATGTGGTATGATAAATCGTATAGTTTTTCCCACATTCCACCAAGGATTTCATCYTATTTTTCTCGTTTTAAATTTTCCAAGGGTTGTCAAGTTCTCTCTAGCGCTTATGACACTAATTAGTAGCTAATGGCTATTWATCTTGTCTCATTATATCGATTGCTTTTTTAAGATCAACATTGTTTATTTGACTTCTGGGTTGCCCAGCAAGTCATTATATCCATTGTCTTTTTTATATCATAGTATTTTGGAAATTTACCTTCCCACTCAATGCCAGGAAAACTGAGAATACTGTAAAAGATTAAAGCAATACAAAGAAGTAATTGACTTTTGACAACGCTACAGACTCTATGAGAAACAAACCGTCAAATAAAAGCAATAACAGGAAAACAAAGCACGAAATGGAAAAAGAAGAAAGAAAGAAAGAAAGAAAGAAAGAAAGAAAGTGGGCAACGTAAATCAAACTAAACTTTTCTATTTATTTTCCAGCAATCAATACCAAATATTATAGAACCATAAGCATAACAATATTCCCGCGATGAGTATGAACCAATTGACACTAGAATTTAGTGCAAAACTTATTTCTGTCAGAAATCACATCTTCTAGGATGATCTTCCACGAGTCTTCATCACTTTTCAGTGACATGAAGAGTTATCGTTTCACGGCACATTTAGCTGCAGTTATCTGTCGAATACGGTTAACGAGGTGGTCCCGATTGGCATCTGGAGATAAAAATACGTTCTCGTGTTTATTCAAAGCGAGAGCGTTCAGGTCTTTAGGGATGGTTTCATCACCGATACCAACCACAAATAATGTGATATTCATGTTCTGAAACGACAAGGAGAAAATAATTACAATCCGTGGATGGAAAAAGTAAAGGAGAAACATATGGGTGGAGCGCGGTGCTTCTCTCCCTGCATGCAGTGGGCATGACATGGGTTCGATCCCTTGACTCACATCATATGTGAGTAGAGTTCCACGTTGGTTCTCTTCCGCGTGCTTTAAAAAACAATTTCCGGGATTCTCCGGCTTTCCTCCCTGCGCAAAAATCAACACTTTCGGCTCCACTGTGATTTGCATAAGCTGTAGCGGTGTTTCTGCCGTGCGAATACCATGATAAAAGCTAATGGAAAAGTTATATGAAAATGAGTCTAGCTATCGATGTAACGTACCAAGATCGGTAAGATCATAGAATCAAATGTTGGCAGATCATTTTGTGAGAAACGACCATCAGTTGCGATGATCAAGAACTTTTCAGCATTTGGTCTGGCGCCTCCTCCAACACCAAATAGCTCTGTTTTGGCCAAGTGAATGGCTTTGTCGATTCTGAGAGAGACAAAAGACAGTACAGGTTAATGAATTAGAAATGGCATTGACATCTTTTCTTCTTTACAGATAATTTAGGAATACTTATAGTGAAGAGAAAAGATGAAAGAAAAAGAAGAGAAAATGAGATGTAGGGGAAAAGAGCTTGAGAAGAAATAAAATAAGAGTAGTGAAGAAGGAAGAAAGGAAAGAAAGGAAGGGAGAATGGGAAGTGGAAAAAAACCACACTGAAGTATAGAAAACATTTATGACAAAAAGGGAGTCTTTGTAAAAAAAAAGTTCATTTTCAGTCCTAATTGAAATATTTGGCAATAACTTAATGATCAGAGTAAAACTTTGCGGTAACATTTCCATCACGTCTTTTTACCTTGTACTCGAGTTCTTGGARTCAACTTTTCCTACTGCTATTTCCACTTCACCCTTGGTCGAATAGTCACTGAAACGAAACTCAGTCTTCGCTTCGTCACTGAAACTAATCATTCCAAACCTTGTCTCATCGTAGCTGATGGTGAAGTTATCTGTGAGCTGGATTGCAAATGCCATGGCACTYACTAACCATTCGTCTCCCATGCTCGCTGATGAGTCAATGAGCACGCCGATATCAATGACATCGTTACAAACAGCACCTGAAAATGAAGAAACGAGAGGTTGTACGGAAATTGTAGTCATTCCAGGAATTATGAAATTACTAGTATAMTGTATTCAGGTAATAGTACTGTGATAAGATGAAGAAAAAAGAGAGAAGAGAGAAGAGATAGGGAGAGGAAGAAGGACAAGGACAAGGATAAAGACAGGGACAAGTAGAAGGACAAGGAAAAGACTTAAGGACAAGACAAAACAAATGTTAAAAGAAAAAGGAAAATCTATAATTGTGATGGTAATATAATGCATGAATTTGCTTACCTGAAGCAGGCTGGAAAGAAAATACTCCAAGAAAAGGCACAAAAAATAGCACGAGGGAARCCATTTTGAAACCTGACCGACAGACGACCACGTTGATCCAAAATGAAGGTCAGTTGGAAAATCAAAAACTCGAGATCTCATAGAATTATCTTCGTAATAAGCTTTGTAATTAGCGCAATTATTAAAAAGTGGTCCTGATTATACCAAWTATGACTCGTTCATCTTTCCATTTTGAAACCTGACCGACAGACGACCACATCAATCTAAAATGATGATGCGATTAGCAAATTAAAAACTCGAGATCGCAAAGAAATACAATCATTGTAATAAGCCCCGTGATTAGTGCAATTATCAAAAAAATTATTCCTTAAATACACGAAATATGTATATTAATAAGTGATGGATATTAATAAGTATTGCAATAATAGTAATCTAATTATAAATAAATTTTCTCTATCATAAAATTCCGATAAAAAATGTTTAGGGAAATATCATGTAAAGCATTAATATTTTTTGTCAAAAAAAGGATTTAGAAAGTTGAACTCTTGAGTGAGAAACTTTATACTTAAAAGGTTTCTTAGGAATCGTGTAGAGTTTAGCATGGAATGTCCCTCACTTGTTACCATTGTTTTACTATCTCCTATTAGACTTTTCCAGATAATATTTCAACAGCATAATAAAACAAAATTAAAATAGGAAAAGAAAAGAAAAGAAAAAGCCTTAAGAAAAAGCTTTCTTTTCGTACTTCATAGCTTAGCAATAATTTTAGCCCTAAGTAACATAGTATAGTTTTAAATCAAATTATAATTAAGATTAGMATAGTAATCGTATTTTGGCGATTTTTTGAGATCGTTTACAAAACCYGTAGAAGTGGAACAAGGGGAACTCAACATGAGGTTTTAACTCTTAATTAATTTTTTTTGAGCGCAAATTCGACGGGAAAATAAAAAAATATAAACTCAAGAAATTCAAGAAAGAAATAATCAACTTGACGGTGTGTAGATACTTGGTGTTGCTTTATTCAGTTCGATTTAGCTATAAATATCTACTTAGTTGTATATGACACATACGTACATCTGCTGATAAAATTTCTTATTCCAAACAAACTACGAAAAATAAAACATAATATTATTAAAATCATTGACAACGATTTGCATACTCCATYCATGTGTCCTTTAACTTTATATGTTCGTTCGTCGCGTCAAATTGATAATCTAGTCAGCATCTGAAACTGATATCAAATAGTTTGTTTTTAAAGGTGCGGTTATTAGTCTAAAAACCATTGACATCTTACGGGGCTTGATTTAGAGGGGAGGGTGGGGCTACACGATACCCGATACCCGGCACCCGATACCCGGCACCCGATACCCGGCACCCGATACCCGGCACCCGAAACCCGGCACCCGATACCCGATACCAAGCAGCCGATACTCGGCACCCGATACCCAGAAAAACTCCTGATTCTTTATTCATTGTACAGTGTGTCTCTCGACCCCGTAGCCTACCCTCCTGTTTCGTATTTACCTCTCTAGAAGCGTGTCTGACAGAACACCTTGACAATGTCCTTYAGACGTTTAACGAGGTCGACGAACGAGTCCAACTTAAAGACATTTKCTTTGTTTCCGTCTGCAATCTGTTCGAGTTCCCTATTCTCATTTATCTGGAATACTTGACCAACACCAACTGCAATGATCTTCAGGTCAGCCACTTGCGACTGACAAAACAAACAAAACATAATTGGCATGGCAACTAAAAGATTATATGATGACTACATTGGCTTTTTCCTATGATTGGTCGAGAACTGTGCTGTATTAGTGATTACTATATAGCTAGCTCGCTACGCGCGCTCTGATTGGTCGAGAACTGTACAGTATTGTGAATGAAACATATCCATGCACGCGCAGCAAGCTTTCAAAAGAATTGTAAGAAAACATCATTTTAAGCCACAGCAGAATTTTTTCTCACTATAATAATAATAATAATAATAATAATAATAATAATAATAATAAAACATCCTTTTCCTTGCTGCGCTTAGTAATACAGTACACGCAGGAAGTGACGAAACTAATGTGAAGGGTCGTCTACGCATGCTCTTTAGTTCCTAAGATCCTCACTTTTGACCAAGAGAAACGCAGACTCTGAATAATACAACTACTGCACCAATGGAAATACTCGTTATTTATATAATCCAATCAGAGCTCACCTTCAATTTGTTAATAACATCSGCGTACTTCTTAGATTTAGGGCTCGTCCTTCCATCAGTGAGAACCAATAAGAGATGAGGTACTGATGGTCTMGCAGCAGGACCATTAAACAACAAGTCACCGGCCATTTCCATACCAAGATCTGTTCTGGTTCCACCTGGCTGGAAATCAATGTCAAGAATAGCCTAAAATAGAGAAAAAAGAAAATTGGTTGATYGTAAAGGAATTTTGCAGGACTGTGGAAAATTATTGATATAATACTTCTGTTTCTTGGATCAAATAATTGTGTATATCTGGTAGCAGTTGAACCTCTATTAAGCGATCGACCTCTATTTATCGACCAAGTGCTAAAGTCCCAAAGAGGGCTTTTGCAGTAATTTATACCTCTATTAAGCGATCAACCTCTATTTATCGACCAGTTGCTAAAGTCCCAAAGAGGGCTTTTGCACTAATTTATACCTCTCTTAAGCGACCAACCTATTTTCAACGGCCACTAACAATTTCCTGAGGGTGAACGCTTTATAGAAGTTCTGCTTAACAGCATTTATTTACCTCGGCTAATCTTGCAGGAGAGTAATATTCTATTTTGCTAAAATCCCACATGAGTTTAGCATAGTGGTTGTAACGTACAACTCCAACATGGGTCTTCGATTTACTAACGCTAAATTCTTGCACAAGTTTCACCAGGAATTTCTTGACTTGAATGAAGTTCTCACGACGTACACTCGATGATGAGTCCACAACGATCCCGACATCCATTGCTCGCTCACACCGGCCTGAAAAGAGAAAATAAGTAAGACAGCCATACTGCTCTTAAAATACCATGAGTAATGCTCGATAAATTTTTTTTTCACAAAATCGAGTGGGTACTAGGTACTAATTTGTCGTAAGGGGAATGGGCAAGGCGTTTTGTTCGACAACAATCGCTTGTGAGTCTTATATACATCACGTGATCGCAGCCATGTTAAATGGCAGAAACAATAGAATCGTTTTACATGAGAAAGAAATCAATTCCCGAGAGCTTTTTTATTGAGGGATTTTATTGCTCTAGCCTGTGCTCGAGCATTTTTGTCGGAGCAACAATTATCAGGTGCGATGTGMTTGGTTCAAAAGATGTGTACGATTCCGTACCATGACAGTGCTGCCTTCCTGACGTGCTGTGCTGTTTAACGATCATACCAAGGCTACTCCAGTACTCCCGGTGTTTGATGCTAATGGTTTTGTCATGACTTTAGGAATAATGTATTTTTAGACTCATTCAACTTACTTGCGCATTCCATAAGACGACACTGCGCAACCTCAACAGCAGGCCCCAGTTCTTCACACGGTTTTCCATTTCCTTTAGGGGTTGGATTGTTACAGGTTCTTTCTCGAATCTTTTCTCCAATACCACAGGTTTTGCTACAGGCTGACCAATCAGACCATTTAGAGTAGCCGCCATCGATGTCAGGGCTTTGAGGTTCAGGTGCTAAACGAATAAAGAATGGTAAGTATTTGGGGTAAATGCGACGTCATAGCTACCATGTTGGATGACTTGAACAAAAGATTTGGTCTTGTTGTCTTTTGGCATATCATTCGATATGGCGGCCACGTCTTTTGTCCTTGTGCAAGTGACGTCATAGCCGCCATGTTGTTTGATTTGAAAGAAAGATTGGGTCTTGTCATGTCAACCAACATGGCGGTCAAGTCTTTTKTTCGTATACTTACTGTTGTCAACCAGTCTGTAGATGTAGTTAGTGCTCTCCCCGCCAACACATTCAGAGAAAGGGTCTTGTTTGACGCATGCGTAAGGTTTGGTGAGCTGCTGAATACAGTTGTCAGAAGGCCCATCTTTACTAAATGTGGCCTCTCCATTAGCTCCTCCCCAGCATTCKCCGTAAAACTGGAGTCCAAAGACCTTGTAKCCTTTAGMACGAGCCTTTTCTGCGCATCGRCAGGCAAGACTGRGRGGAAAAWTAMAGTGAATCACGTGAWTATTTGAAAAACCAATCACAGATCTTGGTCAATGTCAWGTGACAAACCTGTGCTGAGATTCCGCCCATTTGTGCCAGTCAAGYACGTGACCATCGTTGGAAGGGCTGTACACGTCACGATCGTTAAGGAGTAAATCKGGAAGAGGCCTGGGGGAGAGTGAGTCGTGGAAGCAACCAATCTTAACCCATTTTCTTGTACATTTGACAAAAGGCTTTGGTTCACCAGCTACAGCCAAAAAACATACAATGAATACTTTTGGAACGAAATATTCTCGATTAGTAACAGTGCTCGAAAAAAAGGTATTATCGATTAGTCAGTATTTTAAAACGAGGTATTATCGATTAGTCAGTATTTTAAAACGAGGTAATATCGATTAGTCAGTGTTTTCAAAGGAGGTATTATCGATTAGTCAGTGTTTTCAAACGAGGTATTATCGATTAGTCAGTGTTTTCAAACGAGGTAATATCGATTAGTCAGTGTTTTCAAACGAGGTATTATCGATTAGTCAGTGTTTTCAAACGAGGTAATATCGATTAGTCAGTGTTATAAAACGAGGTATTATCGATTAGTCAGTATTTCAAAACGAGGTGTTATCGATTATGGAGTTTAAAGACAAAAGCCCTTCAAGTCAAACCGATATAACATCGAATAGCACGTAAAAATGCGTGGATAGAAATAATTGTTTTAGTTAAAGTTTATTCCAGCGTCACTATCTTCTTCCTGGCTGTCAGCTGCTGTTTGTTACTGTCAAGACTAGGAATTGTTTGAACTACTCATTCAATAACAAGGATCTTTACCGTTATATATTTATTTTCATAGAAAACCGGGAAAAAGTAGGTCGTGTGCCTTCGTTCTTCGTTCGTTCTGTTCTTTGCTGTGATGTTCTTCGTATCACATGTACATAAATCCTACTTATTTTCTAATTTCGTCTTTTACTCCTACTAAGGAATAACGCCCAAAACGTCTAATCTTATCGGATYTACTATTCCATGGTGGACCGAAAGACTAACAGGTTTTGCAATCCACTTGATAAGTAGATCGATAGGTCAAATTAGAATTTAAAGGTTGATTTTGAATCTGATGGAAGAACCGGAAAACCACAGGATAGAACCAACACACCAYTAACATACGACACTGAGTCAGGGAATCGAACGCGGGTAAGAGGCAAGCGCTCTCGCTGCTACGACAAACGTACATGTCTTTTCCAATATTGTTACAACCTTTTTTGCACMGTGTTTAGTTTCCTTCTCATTCACAATCGCTAACAAGCTAATTCAACTCCAAAATAAATATGTCAAAACTAGRGGAAAGCTGTGTTGAATTTTCACGATGGAAACAAAGTACAACGATCAAGTAGTTGACGCAGCTGTATTTAGTTTTACTGTATTTTTCTTTTTCTTTTTTATTTATTTATTTTTTTGTGAATTGAACAGAACAAAATATAGGAAAAATTTTTTTAGAATGATTCAGAACAGTATCTAGAAGTATCTAAAATACGTCTCAATTTTGAAATTTGAATTAAAACATGAACGCGCACATATTATTGAAAAATATATTCAGATAACTATTAATAAAAGATAACAAGTTCTTAAAAAAATATTTTAAATTAAGTAAAAATTTCTTACCAAGGGCAAAAGTGTGGTGACAATACAACAGAATCACGGTAAGAAAGAGAAGTTTCATCTTTGTTTCTGAAAATAAGAAAATATAAATGGACAATGAAATTTGTTGATTATACATGCTTTATGATAGTTTTTATAGTTTAAAATAATTWAGAAAGAAATAGAATAGAAAGAACTATAGAGAGAAGGAGAAGGACGAGAAAAGGAAGAAGAAGCAGAAGAAAGGGGAAGAAAAAGAAGGAGAAGAAGAAGGAAAAAAGAAAAGAAAACAAAAAACGAGGGGTTGAAATGGGACAAATTAAAATACACAATTGTCCAGATATGGTTTACTCCTGCATTTTCAAACGAGAACAGCAAAGATTGCTGGCAATGGTTAGTGTTCATATTATCAGAGAAAAGCTACAAAACATATTTAGGAAAGAAGAAGAAGAAGAAGAAGAAGAAAAAAAAAAAGAAGAACCCGAAAAATGAAAATACTAAAACTTTGCAACAAGAGACCAAAGCAAAAAAGGTGAACTGGGGACTTACCTTATAACTGAGTTCACTGACCAAACTTCAAACACTAGTGGTGAAGAGAACGAGTTGGGTGGCCTTATAAAGGCTGCACGGCACAGTCCCATGCAACCACCCAAGGTGGACTAAGTAATTTGTATATAAATACTATTTACTTTTAGAAACATAACGTAACACAAACAAATCATTTAGAAGCTATTATAGCTGTCATAATCAAAACTATTGGCTGAAATACATTTTTTTAACGAAGAAAAAAATGGCAAAACTGTTGCTTTAGTTTTTATTGTCTGTGTTAKAACCGTAGTATAGTTTTGCGCTACAATTTTTCAAAGAATTCACTTGCCAAATGTGTGCGTTCGACTAAGATCAAAACGTTCTGTTCAGGTTATCTTTTAACGGCATCTGATCTTTCGATTCCGCACATGCTTCTGATCAGTAAAATCATATTTATTCATATTATTCATTATTATCACCATCGATTACCATTCGATCTTATACGTATGTAACTTCTTCTCAACTGTGGAACAACCAAAATGAAACAATTATGGAAAATGTGCTTTGAAAATTACTAAAATGTTAACAGAATAATTGTCGACTTAAAAAATATTATTAAAAATTAAAAATTAGTCATCCTTTCTCGACTGGAGTGCAGGAAGTATTGATGTATTTGGTTAAGAACAATTTGTAACTAAGCATTTGTTTATTCTGCGTTAATCAATCTATGAGTAAGGAGTATTTTGCCAGGCCTGAAGAAAAAAAACCCACACACACACACACACACACACACACACACACACACACAAACGAGCAAACTTTTGATCTATACATATTGGATCCATATTTAATGGAAAACTTGATTAAGCCGAAAAATTTGTAAGACTTCTACATAGAAGTATGTTGGTTGAGATAAAAGACAAAAAAGGGCGATTTGCGGATTTAACRAAAAGATGATAAGGTGATTAAGAACGAGAAGTGGTATGGAAGCAAAAGTCGGCAGCACGCGCCTTCACTTCTGCAACTTTATTTCTCGAAACTTGGCCATAAAATGAGARTTAACCTCCATAAAAAGCCAAATATTTTGAACCAAATATTAAACGTTTAYCCAAAGACGTTTATAAGTGTGTTCGAATTATGTTTTGTATCGTGTGTGTTTGCTTGCTTGTCATCCTAATAGTCTCTTTGAATGTCTTGCTCAGTTCTTTGAGGAAATTGCTTCGCCGACTAAACGGCCATCTAGTAGCTACATCGATCAATATTATCCTTAATTACGATTGTTTATCTAGTATTTTTCTCTTCCTGTTCAATTTTTATTTGCTTAGCATGTTTAATCTAAAGTCCCGTTTCTTTCGTATAACTTTGTTTYATCTTGCGTAATTATGGTCTTCAGCTCTTTACCGGCCATTTCCCAGAAGTGGGCTGATGTGGCAAGACTGTATGGGTTTGTTTGCTTAAATGAGCCAATTGACCGTTTTCTCAAGGTTGCGTGCGCATCCAAATTTAAKGAACTTGACGGGCAACGATACCAGAACACGTACATATAATATTATGCATTGCTATGAATTATTTTACGATAACGATTCATAAATTTGATTATTCTCCTCTGTAAATATAAAACTGTCTCCTCAATTTGACTGAATTTGAGTTTTCTTCAGTTTTGTSGCCCGTYMAGTTGGATGCGCACGCAACCTTGAGAAAACGGTYTATTGGTCAGTCTCGAGGTCTTRCAATTCTTAGTYCCGATAGTCAGAGTAAATAAACCACGTTGGTCAAGGTATTCATTCTCATTAAATCTAGAAACTAAATATAATGATGGAGGCTTTGTACGACCACGTGATGGCAGCCACACCAGGAAAAAGGAGCAATTGCCGGCATCTGGTCTAAATTGTTGTACATGAGAAAGAATYAAGTTTCCCAGGGAAAAAACACTCCATTGTTGTGAGTGTTTTTCCATTGCCACTTTGTTGTTTCATTCCTCTGCGTATCGGTTTTGTTTCTCCATTGTTTCTCTTTTAGCAGAGTTTATTCAGAATTTTCCAGTTATCATAAATACAATAGTCATGGTAGAAATATCCACTGACCAGGAAGAACACAGGCTTAGAAAAATAAGACTCTAGAAGTGCTTGATGGCAATGCACGCATGCGCAGTTTAAGACAATCTTTCTCCTAATTTGTTCTAACACGCTTTCATTTCTTTCATTCTTTCAAGTGTTTTCTTTTTTTTGCTCCTCCCCAAGGACGTTTTCAACACTCTTCTACCACGCTTTCATTCTGCTAAGCGTTTTCTTTTTTTGATCCTCCCCATGGACGTTTTCAACACTCTTCTAACACGCTTTCATTCTGCCCGTAAGTGTTCTCTTGTTTTTCTTGGTCTAAATACGTCTTCCATCTGCTCATATGCTTTTGCAATAAACCCTTGACTATATCTTAACATCATGAACTCAAGGGACGTTTGATTAGCCGTTAACATTTACGTTATTATATCTAAATGAGCTACTAGAAACTTAACAAAACCACTCTCGTCTCTTTATATGTTACATAAAAACTTTGAAGCAAACGTCACTTTTTTTTTACTGCGCGTTTAAGATTAAGTATTGGGCAGTCCTTGGCCACTTACAACTCTCGACTGTAGTCCAATATATAGTTACGAGCTAAGGCGAGCTGAAGAAAACACCCTGCTACTGATCAGCGCTGGTGGAAAACTGTAGGTTTTGAAAAAGCGTATTAATTTTGTCATCATACAAACTTTGGAAAGATATTAGAACGGAATAATTCAGATCTTGAAGAAACTTTCCAAGATCCTAAGAAAGCATTAATTGGGAGAACGGATTGCTCAAAAGAATCACGATGAATAACTCTTCACTATTMGATGAGGAGAATTGCCTCGTACGAWTGCCAYATTTTGTCGAATTATCATCATACCAAAAAACAACTCTTACGTATAMTTCTGTCTTGAACGCGATAACCGCASTTCCTGCSATCACWRGCAACRCACTTATCCTGTTCGTTTTGTTGTTCAGAAAGAAGCTACGAACAATCCCGAACATGCTTCTAGGRAGTTTGGCGGCCACAGATCTCCTGACTGGGATGACAGTGCAACCAATGTTTACGCTACAGTCAATACTCAGTTCCTAATTAAACACACGTCCTCTTGTGATGCGTTTGTTCTTTACGATGTTTCACAGTTTTTATGTGGTCTTTGTTCATCATATATCTCGATTCTCGTAACAATCGATCGGTGCATGTCTATTTCTCAGCCATACAGGTACCGTGCCTTAGYCACCAAGAAGAGAATCGCAGCWTTGATCTCTATGGTGTTGCTAATCTGGTCGGCGTTGGCAATCTTAAGGCTGTTCTTATTATCGCGTGGTAAACACTTCGGTTTACTATTAAGTATTTCATTCTTTCTGTCCTTCTGYGTCGTTGTAGTCCTCTACATACATATGCTACGCATAGCCAACAGACATCAAAACCAAATCACCGCTCAAATCCCACCAGAATTTGCAAAGAACCAGAAACGCGAAAGAAAAGCGATGAAAACTGCCTCGTACATCATCGGAGCGTTCATCATCTGCTACTTGCCGTACATTGCTGTTCGTTTATTTAGTATCATTGTTAAAACTTCTCTGAATTTACGTTACGTATTGATGGTGTGGGCAAAGACACTCTTGTACATGAACTCCAGTTTGAACCCATTTATTCTGTTTTGGAGAATCAGAGCGGTTCGAAATGCATTAATGAACATTTTGAGGGACCGTCGACTTTGAAGTGTAACAAGAAACCTAAAAGCACAACTGAAATTGTACATYGATCCAATAAAATTCAATATTTATAAGTTATTACGATTTGGAGCCGCCAATACGGGCTTATATTGGAGGCTAGTTGGAAGAAAATATATCCTGTATTGGCCATAGTATGGTCGCCAACGTTTTGACTGTAACTAAGAGATATTAAGCGAGTAAAAAAAAAAAAAAAATCTAAAATTTAGGAAGAAAAAGCTTAAAAGAAAAGAATATTCGAGTTAATTAGATTAAAAGTTATTAGTATCGATTATTCTCGTTACTGGAGGCAGCGTTGGTGGTCAACTTATTTTCAAAACCCCACACAGTGCTAGACATCTAAAAGAATATATAGCAACTTGAAATCCTAATTTAGTGCCATATTAACTTAAAAAGCCCATTTTGACAAGCCATCTTTCTTCTATCCTGTTTTCGTTCGCTCAGAGGTTACCTAGCAACCCCTCTGACGTTATTACTAGAGACGCGAAAGGTTTTATGAGTATATGATATATCAAAGTAATAAATCAAGCTAAATCAAATCGAACAAAGTTCATCTTAACCTTATATTAGTAGTCTTTCCTAATGGTTATCAATGGTTACTTAGCAACCCCTCTGACGTCATTACCAGGGACGCGCAAGGTTTTATGGGAAAAAATATCAAAGGTAGTTAGAAGTCAAACTTCTTCGCTAGAAAAAAAAAAATTAATACCAAGTTCAATTGAACCTAAATAAGTAGGGTTAAAAACGTTTTACTGTTGACGACCGAGTTCCGAAAGCTGGAAGACAARGAAATAAACGTCACGCCAAAATAGAGAGTCAGTTGTTTGTTTGAAGACAGTTGTTTTGATTAGAAAATAAAATACATAGACCTGTTCCGATTTAATCTGACGGTTCCATCSTTCTCCATTAGCTAGCAAAATAGACTAGATAAAACACCAAAATGGCCGCTTAGAGAGCTGTTAACAAATTGGTATTAAAAGACATGACAAAAAAATTAATGGTTAAATAAATTGATACTAAAATTTGTTCGAGTTCTGTTCATAGAACTGCGTTAACTCAAGTTCATYTATTAAGCTAAGCTTTTTTAAGAATTTTTTTTTCATTTTCTCTAAGATGAAGATTTAATGTTCCGAGACAAAGAAAGAAATATAGAAAAGCTATCAGGAATGGTTTCGACTGAATTGGACATAACCCAATATGGTCCAAAGTACTACAAATGATAATTTCCGTTCTACATAAAGAGATTTCAACACAATACAAGCCTTGAGTAAATACATTATCATTAACCCGGTAMGGTCGTGGGAATACTAACATAACAAATGATATTTAATTAACACTATATTAATGAAAGTTACAGCCATGTTTGCACAACGTTTTTACTCATCTCTACATTAAGCAAACTCCAACGGGCTGCTTCGAGAATCACTTYAAGTCATTGATAGTCAAGCTAGGGTTATAGTAACTGCTACTGCTGCTGCTGCYRCTGCTAATATGGCAGTGTACATGTTGGGCCATTTTTCTCTTCTAGTTCTTTTATCTAGTGTCTTTGTTCAAATTCATGCGAATGGAAAACCCCAAAACAATCGAATTCTAACTGTGGAAAGAGTAAGTAAACTGAATGAACTAATAACGAGACATTTTTTTGGGCAGTACATGTGTCTGTATATCTTTTATCGTATTCCTGGCTTATCAGGTCTTATAGTSTGTAGTAAGAATCATATTGATTGAAAAGAAAGGTACAAATTTGCAGAAATTGATCTCAGGAAGAATGAGTACCAGGCAGGTGTATTTGAGTTGTTTTCCTGAAACGTTAAGATATTCTACCACCTGTACGTCAGAGGTTTCTGGTTAGAATAAAAATGAAAAGAAAAGAGGGTAAGAGAAGGGGATGGATGAGAAGAGAAGGGGATGGATGAGAAGAGAAGGGGATGGATGAGAAGA